CTCAGGTCGGGTCGGATCCCTGGTGGCCGAACCTCTACTGAGTACAGGTTCGCCCACCAGGGATCCGACCCGACCTGAGGAAACTACCGACACCGTTACACTGCACGCAACTGGACATTACAAAAGTTCCTGCAGACAAGCGTGCAGAGGCTGCAAGGATGGCCAGGGAGATCAAGATGTCCCGTCTCCGCAAAAATCGTCGGATCGTCGGACGAGTCTGACTATGTCGTTTCCGGGCTGGATGCTTTGGAGCGGCTGCAGGTGAAGTACGCAGCTACCAGCCCTCGCGGTGCCAAGATGCCAGCACTCTATGCCTGAGGTCTCGTGCCGTTTCGCTTTGTTTGCCTTTTGCACCGAGTTGCGGTGAGTAGGAGCAGGTACGCGGAACGGAGAGAATCACTGGAAGCTTGCCTGCGCCAGCATGTTTTAGCATCGTCTGCCAAGCTGCCAGGCTGCCAAGGCACAGGAATGGACATGATGCACATAGATGGCAGCGGTTTGCAAATGACGAGGACCAGATCAATTGGCCTTTCGATGTGTGGTCAATGTCCCACAAAAACGGTTTCCTGCGACCGAGAAGCATCATGTGTACGCAGGATGGCCCGTTTGTGGTGTTGCCCATGCAATTTCTCTGGATTCCCTTCGGGGATCATCCGGTAAAGTTGGAACGATACAGAGAAGATTAGCTGGCCCCTACGCAAGGATGACACGCACAAATCGAGAAGTGTACCAAGTTTTGCACACAAAAGCTCAGATTGTCGATGGCTCAGGTTTCTTTTAGTACGCTTCTAGGTTGACCTGAGTCATTCGATGAGTGATGATGGGCGCAAGCTTTCAACCCTGAATTCTGCAACCCTTGTATGCTCCCATTGAACCTCGCCTGTGAGCTTTGTTCTCTGCCATGCGAGAGCGAAAAAAACTAGTTTTCACACTGACTGCGCTTGAAAGACCTCGCCTGGATTGTCCCATTTGTGAGAGTGTAAACCCGAAGCCCAAAAAGGCGAGACGCCAAAACCGCAGGCCCTGGCAGACCAAGACCGTGACGGACTCGCTGGATCCGGCGGGATGTGTCCGGTTTGGGGTTTGCCTACTTTTTGGGGTTACCTTAAAGGATCCTTAATATAATAGTGGTTAAACCAAAACAAGGAACTACAATGCAGACTATAGGTAGGGTTCTTCTTCGGATATAGCAATGGTCCCAGCTTTTCCCCACGGCCAGATGGTGCACAAGTTACCGTAGCTTTTCTACGGCATTTACTACGACGTGGCTATAGGACCTCGGATGCTTGAGGATTGTTCTGTTACAGGTTTTCAGAGTTTACACAAATAGTGTCAATAATCGTAGTAATACTAGTATTATTCTTGATACTACTAATAATAGCCATACTCAAAACTAGGTAGAGTAACAATAGCAAAAATGGAAGAATTAGAGTTCTGCAGATTCCGCGTTTCCGGCACCGGGTCCAATAAGGGTGTGGGCGGCTCTACAGGTTCCCTTTTGGGACACTAGGCTGAATTCAAGGGTTTAGGGTTTAGGAAAGGGGTTTAGGGTTTAGGGTTGGCTGATTTCACGGGTTGTGCTGCAACTTACAACATACTATTTGGATGCTTTGGCCGTGCAGGTGTGGAATGAGACAAAGAAGGACTTCGACTATATCCCTGGTGAGGTGCCTGGAGCGGTTATCGGTTCCATGGACAAACCCTTAAAGTTTGAAAGGCTTGGGGTTAATGTAGGGGCCTTAATCCTTACCTATATTATTTTGGGGGTTCCTTATTATAACTATAGTATAGTGGGCTTCAAAACCGTATTCTAATTATTAAGGCCCCTACATTACAAGTCCCAGGACGCTTGGGCTTGAGCCTCGGAGTGTCTAAGTCTAGCGCAGCTTATGACAGCTCTGTGAATTCGAAGTCCCTTTCTTACCCCAAGCTCGTGCCCACTGGCTGAAACCCAAGCCAGCCCTAGGCCCTAGGCCCTGCATGAGCCTTACCTGCGAAGCCTAGCAGAAACAATCAATCAATCATCATAAACAAGCATATACACACATATATACATGTATATATATATATGTATATATATATATATATATATATACATGTATATATATATACACATAAGTTTGCTTGTATATTGTACATTTATTTATACGTGCTCGTTTCATAAATACATATACCTGTACATATACCTACTGACTTGCTTCTTTATGTGGTCAGCCCCCTCATGGCCCACCCCAGCCTTCTTGCCAACCGTTCGTCTACAGAGTCTACAGTATTCTGTCTCCAAGTGCTTTTTCCGGGGTTCAGAAACCATCGGTATTTACGCTGGACTGCGCACTTCACATACTGACCTCTATGGAAACCCCGGTCGTTTCTGCATAGTAGGTCTTGTTGTATCATGTCTGATCCCTGCTACATCACGCAAACACAAGAAAGCTCCTGAGTCCGCTGTGGCTGCAACTCAACTAGTTCGTACAACTTGCCAAAGTCATGAAATACCGATGTTTCGCAAAAGATGTGGTCTCCACCCATCTCCCACATTCCAAATCCATCCAGTCATGAGTAAGGTCAGTCGAGCTTCTTACATTCTTTCATTCATGTGGTGCAGCCAGACTGACAAGTCAAGTTTTCCTGTGCTAGCAAGCACGGAATCAAAGACCAGGTAAAGATCACGTTTTCTTCTCTGCACTAGAAATATGGAAGCATGCTTTTACGCCGTGTATGCTTCGTGGGTACTAGGACACATGTTTGAAAGCATCATCGTTCCTCTTAGTACGAAGCTTAAGGCCATTTGCTTCATGCAAACAAAATAACCAGGCTCCAGAGAGCTGCTGCATCTTTCAACAAGACATGATGTAGCTCCTCCTGCTGGAAAGCTGCGAAAGAGTTCCGTTACATCTTGAGCACAGCTTAAGTCTTCGAAGGGAACGTCAGTATCTGAAGAACGCTTTGTGTCAAAAGACATGGAATAACTTATTAGCCTTCCGATCCTTATGCAAAAAGAAGCTTTTTTTGTCTCTTAACATTTAGCAGACACAAGAGAGCCGAGCCTTTCTCAACCATGAGCTAGTCCCTTCAGTTGGATATTCAAAAGTACAATAATGTAACGGCAGGTAAGTGCCAAACTAGTTACCAATACTATTTTGGGAGTTTCTTATGAGAACTTTTGTATAATAATGGGCCCCAAAACCCTATTCTAGCTATTAAGTCCCTTACATGAGGGTGATATTGCGAGTATACAATGTGAGAGCCCCTTTGTCGACATGAGTGAGGTATGTTGGCTTTAGCAAGAACTGTCTAAATACAGAATCAAAAGGCCTCGACAAGCTCGAAAATTCAACCACGTCTATGCAACAAGATCGACAAGTACTACAAGCAAGAATACCGCCGCTGGTACTGCTACAGCTACTATGGCTCTTATTGCTGCTATTTGTTGATCGTCTTGTTCCAGATTGCTAAAATGCCGCCAGGGCACAAATCTCCCCAAAAGTTGTAAAGCCTGGCGTGCGAAAATTGCATCTATAACGCCAATGTTCAGGGTTAAAAATTTGGGAAATTTGATCCTTGCCGACGTGTTCGCATTCATTTCAGACCTCAGGAAATTTCGGGAAACTTGATCCCTGCCGATGTTTTCGCACCTGAGGTTGCCCGCCTCCCATGATCCACTGCCTACACTTGAAAGCTAGGGTGGATCATGGGCTGGGGCGTGAACATATGAATGCCTGTCGCGTGCTGTGATTCCTGTCTGCCTGGGGTTTTGGGTATTGTCATCATGGTTGGTGGACTGTCCTCTGGGGGTGGGGGGCGTCGGGCGTGGGCGTGGAGGGGGGTGGGGACGGCAAACCGGGAGCCGGGATCATTCTTTTTTCTATATCAATCAACCAATCCATCTATCTATCTATCTATCTATCTATACGCAAACTTATGTTTAAATGTAAACACAAATCAATGTTATGTGCATATATATATATATATATGCATGTCTAGACACGGAAAGACTGATCTATCGATAGTATAAGGCGAATCTCTTGCCATGGTTCCGACGGAAGGCCCTTCGCTTCGCCATACACGACAGCGACCAGCGATCATCTCAAGTCACGAGCTCTGTTTTGGTGGGGGAATTGCTTAGGAGGCTGGTGTGTTGGGCCTTTAAAGTTCAGAACCATGGTTTGGGGAACCCGGCACAGGGGTCGACGGGTCGGAGCTGTCCATGATGGAGTTCCTGATTTCCGGGGTGAGTGTCTTTGCAGGGAAAGTGGATCTGAGGGGACATGACTTTGCAGTTCATAGAGGCTATGGAGATACACACGGATGCTCCTGAAGGCATGTAGGCCGTAGGGTGTGGGGAATTAGGGCTTTATGGCTGCTAAGAAGGGAGTGTGTTGACAATGCTTCCCCTGCCTGAACCTGGCGGAGTCGTTGCAGGCCAGTTGCGAAAGGGCTTTATGGCTGCAGTGATCTAGGGTTTGAGAGACCCTAAACCCTCGTGTGAGTCGAAACCCTAAACCCGAAGCCGAGGTCGATGAGCTGCTGGGCAGCTATGAGATGCCAAGCTCGCAATTCTGGCCCGGTGGCTTCGACGGAGAAGTGACGCTGACGCAGGAGGAGCCGCCTGGCCCGCTAGTTCGATGTTTTGGCGTGCCGGGTCGAAGTCCCTGTCTAAAGACCGCGCGGCGACGGCTGTTCCGGGCGAGACAAGCCCGCTGCACAAGGGACTCTAGACTCTGTAGATCCTTATGACGAAAGTAACACCTACTGAAGTTAAATCGGGCTTATGGTACGCTTGCCCTTCCGTGAACTCTTCGAATACGTGCCGCAAGTGTCGCATGCTAGGGGTGTTGACAGGACGAAGAAGTAGCAACCCGAGGCTAGGAGACAAAGCTCTCAGTTTTGGGGCCTGTTTCTTCACTCCAGTGCAGCAGCAAGGGCTCTTGATCTGTAAAGTCCTCGAGCCCTACGAAGCAGAGCTCCGGGCCCAGGCATTCCAGACGGGACAAGAAGTCCACGGTGACACTGAAGGTGAAGGCAGCGAGCTGATGCTGTACTAGTCGATCTGATTTAGAGGAGTGGGTTTCATGACAATTCTCCAGGAGCTTTCACCGAGGAGGCGCAGGAGTCGTGAGCCGAATGCCCACGCTCTCTCCTATACCGTTTTGCACTTGCACCCTGAACTCCGCAAAACGCAGAGATCCGGGAATGCCCCGAAGAAACGTAGAGATCCTAGAAGGCCTCGAAACACAAAAGGCTTACACCTATCCCTCGAGGCAAGCCCCACACGGGTCCAAAAGCTCTAAGAAGCCTTGTGCATCGCGGAGGTGACCACGCCGGAGTCGGCAGCGCCTCACCAGCCCCTCGGATTGTCTTTAGGGTCTATTGGATTTGAAGCTTTACATAGAGTTTCAGCCAGAGATATTTTACACGGTATTGGGCAAAAAGGTTTTGGGGTTGGGGGTTTATTGCAACAGTTTTCGGGCTCAGGAAACGGTATTGGAGTTGTGGAGCGAGTGAATTTTATGGGTGAACTCGTTTGCTGAGTATAATTTGATCAAATCCTCGTCTCACTTCTTTATAATTTAGGTTGACCACGGATCCAAATATTATTTCCAAATGTCAAAGTCAAACCCAAAAGAACCTAATTTCGTTCAAACCTTTGCTAATTTAATAATAGGCAGCAGCATGCATGCGCTGTGTTAAGATCAATCTGCACAAAAGCCTTGGAATCTACCTCAACTATTGTCCTCGAACTGTGTGGAATCCAAGTGGATGCAGCCCGGCAGCTAGACGATGACTTGTGTCCATGCTAGTACGAGCCTTGGGCTGCTTCCGGTACTGCTGAATATCAGCTACAAACATGGGAGTTTGGGACAGTATCACAGATCTGCAGATGCGTTAATGCACGCTTGAGTTGATGTAAAGATTTTGGACGAGTCATGTGAAGAAACACGAAGCTTCACATGCACATGCCACTGTTCTCCGACTGTGTACCCTGCGTTGCGGGCTTTGTCCTGGCCAGGTGGGAGGCAAAAAAACCTCGACTCTTCGGGTTCGGGGGATATTCTACACATTAGTGTCACTGTACTAGGAACCCTGAGGACTCAGATTGATAGCTCAGCTCCACAAACTCGGCACCCCAAACCCGAAGTCTCTAAGCAGCTTCAAGACTGACTTTACAAGTTCGAATAAACTTCGATGTTATAGTAATGCAGTAAGTGAAATTGTGGTATAGAAGCGGTTTTTTCATGCTGCAAAACAACTTAGGCCATGTGTTGTCAGCCCTAAACCCTAAACCCCTAAAGCCTAAACCCCTAAACGGCATTCTGTGGATCCTTGCCTGCTGCGTGCGAGAGTGAGAGTCGGAACCACTAAACTCTAAACCCTAAACCCACAGCCAGGTTCGCCAGCGCTGTGAAGCCCGCAGAGCCAGGTGACTCTGCCAAGATGAGTTATGCCTACTGTAGGCGCCTTATTCTTAATAATGAATCAAAACAGGGTTTTGGGTGTTCCTTATTAGTCATGGTATCATATACCACAAACCCTATTCTAATTATTAATCCAGGCTCCAAAATTACGGCGGTGGGTCCAAGGTTAGGTTGTGTTGTTTTTGATGTAGACAATCGAGTGGGAGAGCCCCGAAAGGTTCAGGATTGGCAGGTTTGGCGGCTGCAGGTTGTGGCTTTAGGTGCCTTGGGACTCTGCTCCCGAATCTTTGGAAGACCTGCTCTGTGCCGATGCGCAGCCACGGGTAGCCAGAACTATGAAGCCCTGCAGGGCTGACAGCGTGAGACCCTTGATGCCAAAATCGGATGCATCCCCTTTCGAGCTTTTAAGAGTTCAAACCGTAGCAACTTCAAAGCTTAAGGTTTTACCCTAAACCTCTAGACCCGAGACTCTAAACTGTACCCAAAATCCTGAACCCCAAAGCCCACGATCTGAACCCCATACAGCCGTAATGTATTAAGGGCTCGAATACTAAACCCGTATACCAAACCCTGTTAAAAGACTCTGATTCTATAAGGCTTACACTATAGGCAGGTTTCGTCACCCCAAGACCTGAACCCTTAAACCCTTTTGCAACTGGCTTGCAGCTTCACACCAACTGGCTCGCACTCCTAAACCCTGAACCCCTAAACCTTCAACCTCTGAACTCTAAACTCGCCTGGATTGTCCGAGTGTGAGCGCCGAAACTCTACACCCCTAAACCCTAAACCCCTGAACGCCTGAACCCTAAGCCCGAAGACCTTACAGTAGCAGGCAAAAAAAAACAGCCCTCGTCCGAAGCCGAGGTAGCAACCCAGGAGCTGCCGCGGCCCTCGAGCGCTTCGAGGCCTTCCCCTTTGAGAGAGGGCTTTCTGGAGTTCTCTAGATTTCTAAAATTCTGATAGTGTTTAGGGTGTAGGGTTTAGGATTCTTATAGGAGTTGTTTTATGGTGTTTTGATGAGTTTGTAAGGAGGATTAATGTAATTATATCGTTTTTTCAACCTAGGATTAGAGGACGTTTGGTGGTTGGGGTTATAAGTATTTTATAATGGGGGGCGGTAGCTAATTATATCAATGTGCTTCTGCCAAGTTCGATCATACTTGGAGAAGGTGCTTCCGATGATGATGTCAGCGATGGAGATGCTCATGGTGAGGGTTATCGCTCTCGGGATGGTAAGGGCGACGACGACTACCATGTGGGCAGTTTTCTAAATACAGGTGGCTTTTGGGGTCCTGTTGATAAGGGTGGCGAGCTATTTTTGAGAACTTTACGGGGCCCGGATTTAGAGAACTACCCCTGTTATTTATGATGGTCGAAGTGCCGGTGGTCGTTCTGGTGGTGCTGGATCGTGCTGCTGGTGCTGGCGATGCTCACGGTAATGATCCTGATAATGGTCCTGGTGGTGGTTTCGAGGATCATGGTCATCTTCTTTCTGACGACTATGATGATGGTGATGATGTTTCTGGTGAAGGTGGGGATGGTCATGATGTAGAAGGCTGCGTTTCGTTTGCGGTGCACATACGGCTTTTTACGTTCTTGTGACAGAAACACTTGTCCTATCATTGTCCCACATGTTGTTGGACCTCTTTGTGGTATAGCGCCGTGTGCATAAAGGGTGCGAGGCCACTGGGCTCTAGGCCGAACCGTCATACAGCCTATAGGCATCATCGTGCCCGTTTGGCACCATCCCTTGTGTTTTTCCACGACGTTTACAGCCGCTGCAAGCCTCATTCAAGACACTATGCGCGCTACACAGCGAATCTGCAACCACAACCTTGACAGCCTCAAACGACTCAGGTTTCGTTCCAAGAGTCAAAATCATAGCCGTTAGACCCGCAGAACCTGACCCTTTTCCCTCAGATCTTCCTGAGTTCTGGAAAGCAGCAGGCCGAAATGAAGGAGCTTCGTGCTCGACTCCCCTTTCTCAAAGAGGCAGTGTTCCGGCTTGGTGAAAGGGGGAGTGGTAGCATCATGCTGGCTTCGAGCGCTCACAAGTGCCAAGTGCTCTGTTGTGCTGGAGTGTTGCAGGCCGTCTAAGACCGCAGAAAGACGATTCAGTTGCCAGCGTTTCGTAATCTGTTCCGAATGTTCGTTCTCCTTACATCCCAACTAAATGTCCTAAACTCCAAAGAGGTTTGGGGCAGACTTAGGACTTCTCCTGGCACATGCACGTCTTCGAGGCGCTTCGGGACGAGGTGCCGCATTTCCCTTGTTGTGAGCAGCTCAGCGCGAGCACACCATAACCATGCGCGAAGTTTCCAGGATTGCCAGTACCCTAGGCAGTCCTGAAGGCGTAAACCCCGTCACGATCGCTGCTGCTGACCAGGGTTAGACTGGGTTCTGGAGTACCATACTTGAATACTTTTTTTGGAACCTGTTCCTTAATGAAATTAAAGTCTATACTTTTTTCCTCCATGGTTACTTCAAAGTCTAGTAGAGCCTCCGCAACAATCGGAGCCTTGAGCCGCTTGCAACAGGACTGGTTGATCCAGCGGGCACGGCTCGTCGTATCGGCGCACAAGCTTCGCGTTTGCATGCTGGTTCAGAGCAGAACTCGCAGCAGATGCGAACTTAACGCAACATTTCCATGTGAGCACGTATGTCTGGATGCATCTGTTCATTGCGTAGCCTGTATGTCTAAAGTCCATGCGAAGATGCGTACTGCACATGGTAATAACATAAACCGTACGATGAACGCACAGAGGCAACACATGCATTCACACACATGTGTGTATTAATAACATATATATATATATATATGTATGTTTGTGTAGATACAAAAGCACATGCATATATGCACATACATATACACATGTATGTGTTTATATGCATAAAACTGTCAGCCTATGTAAGTATAGCCTTGTACAGGCATGTATATACACATTAAGTGTCTAGATGCGTATATGCATAGATAGGTACATGTATGTATACAGTGCATACACGCGTACCTACATGCTTACTTACTTACTTACTTACTTACTTACTTACTTACTTACTTTCGTATTTGCATTCTTACATACCTACATACTTGCATACATGCCTGCATGCTTACATACATGCTTCTGTACATACATATGCGCACTTATGATTTGTTTGCAAACTGTCGTTTACGCATGCATGATAATTTGAGTGTGTATGTATGTTTGCACATGTTTGTTTTTGCAGGTATGCATGTATGCATGTATGTATGTGTGCATATATGCACGACTGTACGTAGGTAGGTATCTGCGTATGATTAACTATTACTTTTCACGTCTTGCATTTATGTTCCTAGTTGCTTTTACACACACATACATATATATATATATATACATACATCTATATTGCTAAATGTATGTATATATATATATATATTTATTTATTTATATTTATATTTGTACATACGTACATCACCCGCATGGTTTCGCGATTGTTCAGTGCTTCATCTGAAGGCCTGAAATAATCCTGAAACTGAAGCGGCCCCATGTCTAAAATAAATATGTGACAATGTGACATGCAGATGTTGTACATACTCCGTACGCTCTCCCATCATTGCTCCCAAGGATTTTCGGAATCCCGGTCGGCGACATCGCAGGATTGCACGAAACACAAGCTTGCAGGTGTAGGTGTTTTGAGTCCGAGGATTTGTCCCATCCTGCAAACCGGTCACATTTGCGGTTCACAGATCGCGGAGGTTTAGGGTGAGACGCCTGTTGGGGCTTGGGGTTAATGGGGCAAGCCCGCGTACGTTGTGCTGATTCAATTTTGATGTTTCCGGCATGGGTGGGAAGCTTGCTAACCTTCTAAGGAGACAGGCAAAATGGACTCCAGCTACATTCATGTTACCCTCTTGCCCTATTGCCCGAAATCACCCCCTTCCTAAGTCCTCTGACGTTTAAGCACCCTGAAGTCTGAACCGAAGCTCTTGAGCCCTCCAAATCCTGCACCATGAATCCCGGAGCCAAAACTTAGATCCGCAACCCCAAGGCGAAGCCGCAACTCTGAACCCTAAGTTCCGGTTCAGGGTTTAGGGTTTGCCACGAAGATTCCATACAGGACGCCTATTTGAAGCGGTGTCCCCGAAGGGCAGCCCTGTCGGCATCCTTGAGTGGGCGCAGTTTCTGGTTCCTTGGCTCGGCTCGTAGAATAGGGCTTCGGGGCACATTGTACGACAGTTACAACGCGGACCCTAGAAGGAATGCAGCATTATTGCAATAATACTGTATACCTTGGGGTTCCGATTATGATTAGATAGCATAGCACACCCCAAAATCCTGTTCCAGTTCTGGTTGCTACCCTGAGGTTTTCATGGAGCAGCACCCGCCACACCGTTTTTAAGTCACATGCAGAGACTCTTCGGGCGCGGCACTCATGTTCCCGTGTTCCGGTTTAGGGTTTCCGAACCGCGAACTCAAAACGCTGGAGAGCTTACGGAGCCCGAAACCCCAAGCCTTGCCTGCCTTGTGCGAGAGTGAGAATGGAAGCCCTAAACTTGTTCCGGGCTTGGGGGACCCCAAACCCTGAACCTTAGTTCAACCTTTCAAGCCGAAAACTTATTAAACCCGAAAACAGCCTAACACATCATAAAGCCCCAAAATCCGCCCAGGAGCGTTACCGCAACGGAGACTGGTACTCCTTGCAGGACGAGCTTCCCGCAACAAAGGGGCCAGAATGATTAAGCATAGCATTCCTTTCTGGCACTGCTTGGTCTAGGCCTAAGCTTCCCGCTATATATCTGACATAGAGGGCGTCAGCACCTTTTGTGAGTTCGGATCTGTGAGTTGCAGTTGAGATAGCGTGAAGAAGGTCTGCTGAGGTGCAGGCATCGCAGGTATTTCTTGCAAACAAATTCATGCAACCAGAGCAGCCCCCAGGCCCAACAAGTTGAGCTGTACCTAAAAATCCCAGAATTACGACGTCGCCAGGAGCGCATCCATCTCACCTTTGCCTTGTATGACCTGGATGGGGATGGCATGCTGTCACTGGCAGATGCTATCAGCCTGTCGCGCGAGGACCGGCCTGGACAATCCAATAGGGGCCGAAATAATTACCTATACTGATGTTGGGGTTCCTATAGTCATACTATAAGGTACCCCAAAACCCTCTTCTAATTTTTAAGGCCCTATATTAGATTCTGTCCGTAAGGTTTAGGCTAGCCTGGCCCGGGGATTCGTGGAGGGAGTTGCTGATTGGACGAAGGAGCTTGACACCTCTATTGAACTTGCCGCAGGTACTCGTAGTAACTTTCAGGGTGCATTGGGGCTCTGTTCATTGGCTTGTGAGGGTTGTTTCGGTTAGCTTCAGCTGGTGCTTTTGTTCTGCTTTCTCACTATAACTATAGTTCATACACTTCGTAGAAGAGTCAATGTGCTGCGTCGAGATAGCTTTGGGAGAGTCGGCGACTGCTGCTTCGGGTCGGGGAGCGTGAGACTGAAGATTCCGAAGCCTCGCCAGAGACCCTCCAAAGCCCCGATCTCCAGCCACCGCTATAGCTCCCTACGGCACGTAGGTACTCTGACCAGGTTTCCAGCGTGCTCTGCCCCAACCTCACCATTTCAAACTTCCCATGGGCCCCTATGTCGAAGAAGGGGCCAATGCTTCAGGGCGAGCAGAAGCTTTTGCACAACGGTTAGAACTCTCTTGAAGCCAGACTCGCAGATCCCTCCCAAGCTCCTCGTTTGAAGGTGGAGCGCCTGGAGTTGATCTACGGCAAGGCATCATGTTCGAGTTCTCTGAGCGCAGGGGATGTTTAGGGTTTAGGGTTAAGGGTTTAGGGGATGAACAGTCGGGCTGACTGTTGGCATGGCACTTCCTTACTCGGTGTTGTAATTTCTTCACGAATACTGCAGTTAGCTCGCTTTTCGTTGTGCTGGCTGGCTTCTGGGGTCCCACTGGGCCGCAAGTGGGATGGATGACTGTTCAGAGAGGTGTGCGTGTAGTATGAAGTTTAGGGTTCAGGGTTTATAGGTTCAAAGGGTTCAGGGGGATATGAAGTTGAAGGCACACCGTATAGGTGGTGTCGGCGTAGAAGCCCGCTATGGGATAGCTGTTTTGGGCCTCCGGGGATGCTGCCGAGTTCTGCCTTGAAGCCAGCTTTCCCCATAGCCTGCAACCAGGATGGATCCTGAAGCTTGACGGGTCTTCCCAGCTAGGATCCTCGATGCCCGAAGTTTCAGGGTCTAAAGTATCCACGACCATACCTCAAGCGGCAGGAGAGTTCGGCCATGCCGGTCTGTGAAGAGATGCGCCGCCCGACTCTAACAAGTCGCGTCTCTATATTATTGTTCTTCCCACTTCGATGTCGTTTGTCCTCTCCACTCGCACTGGCTCACTAAACGTCTCTATCGCTGCGCAGACACTCCCTCTCTCTCCCTCAAATTGCTTTCGCTCTTCTCTGTATCTCTCACTCCTCTCGTTCTCAGCCGCGCTCTTGGTCTGAGTCTCTGTCTCTCTCCCTCTCTCTCTTTGTCTTTCTCTGTATCTCTCTCGCTGTTTCTTTTCGATAGTTCCCACTCTCACCATCACTCACCGTCTCAGAGTCATCAGTCACCCTCACATTCCAACTTTATCACTTTCTTACTTTCTCTCTCTCCCTCTGTCCCTCTCTCTACTGTACCTGCCTGCCACCTGCCCGCCGGCCTGCCTGCCTGCCTGCCTGCCTGCCTGCGGCTGGCTGGCTGTCTCTGTCTCTGTCTCGGTCTCTTTGTTCCCCTTTTGCTTCCCTTTTTCTGTGGATGGTTTCGTTCGACGGACCCACCTTCGGAAAGGCAATTCTGCCTGTAGAATTTGCATTTGGCGATGTCTTCTCTGACAAGTTTTCTTCGTGTATTTTTTGTGAGCAGTGGGATCTTCGTGCTTTGCACTTCACTACAGTTGCAAACAACTGGAATTTGCTCTGTTCACCTCGGGCATGTGTCACGTGTATTCTCTGCAGCCGGACATGTCGTATAGAGCCTGAAAACCCTGAACCCTAGACCCTAAACCTGAAAGCCACAGATCTTTGGTAAAAGGGGCTCCACCTGCCGGGCTTTCCGGACATTTTTGACCAAAAGCCCGATCCAAAAACCCGAGACCTTTCCCCACAACTCTGCTCCTAGGCTGGCTGTATGGCCTCATCGCGAATGCTGCGGTGCCTGGTCCGACATCAAAGTTTCTGGCCCCAGGGTTTCCAGTCCCCTGCTTCTTTAAGTTCGAAAAGGGCTTTAGGGGACATTTTAATATAGTTCTGTAGGGACTGGCAGCGGATAGTACTACACAATTCAGCTTTGCGGTATCGACACTACTCACAAACACATAAACATGAATGCATACAGTCCTACCTCCTACCTACCAAGATCTTCCTGGAGTCGGTCCGTGTTGCTCCCTAAACTCCTATATAATGCCTAGACCCCAAAACCCTTCAAACCCTAGAAGCAAATCTAAACATTAGAAAGCCAAAAATCCCTGTAGTCTCCATCGTAGTTCCTTTTTGGGGATGCCTTATAAAATCCCATATATATATATATATATATATATATGGTTAAACCAAAAAAGGAACTACAATGGAGACTATAGGTAAGTATGATTGTTCTAAACCCTAAACCCTAAACCCTAAACACTAAACCCTAAACCCTAAACCCTAAACCAAAAGGAGCCCTTACCAGAGTAAGTATGAGTGCCACACGAAGCCCAGGATGGAGGGCACGACGGTGGGCGGCTGGACTTGCAGGCCGCCTTGGGGGTTCTGATAAACCCGAAAGAGCGCTTACTTACTTAAGGGGACCCTATGCGGTTTAGGGGTTTAGGGGTTTAGGGGTTAGGGGGGTTTAGGGGTTTAGGGGTTAGGGTTGAGGGGTTTAGGGGTTGAGGGGTTTGGGGGTTCAGGGTTTAGGGTTATATTGCGAGAGCTCCTCTTTTCACGCCTTTACTATTATTACGTTCAGACCTTTCTGCGAAGGTGGCTCTGAGATGCGACGTTTTATGGCTTTCAGCATTGGAGGATGCGTGTGGGGCGTGGCTTTGTTTATTGAATGATGCTTTATTAGCTTGAAATTGGCTTAGCGGTAGGGAGGATGTAGGATGCAGCTCCAAGCAAGAACCCTTGAATTGAAGAGTTCGCGAGAGTTTCAGGGTTTGCCGAGCCGCGGCGTTGTGATCCCAACAAGGGGAGGCATCAAAATTGAGAGTTGTAGTGGAAGCCCTAAACCCTGAAACCCCAAACCCTAAAGCTCTAAACCCTATAAACTCTAAGACTTAAGATCCCCCTTTGCCATAGCAAGCCGTCGACCTCAGGGCCCCGACACGTAAAACTCTCGAGCCCGCAGCCCTTCACCCTGACCCTAAACCCTAAACCCTAAACCCTAAACCCTAAACCCTAAACCCTAAACCCTAAACCCTAGACCCTAGACCCTAAACCCTAAACCCTAAACCCTCTTTTTGGAGCAGGTCTTCAAGCAGCTCCGTCCGAATCCGTCATTAACCCAGGTGCCTCTCGGCTTTCTGTATCCGATGGCTCGGGCTCGAAGGTCTTTGGCTTCGGGGCTTTAGGGTTTGTGGGTCTTGGGTATGAGGGTTTCGGGCTTGGGGCGGTGAAGGGGTCTTTGGGTCTCAGGTAAATAGACACAGTCTTCCTAACAGGGTTTCATAATCCCCAAAACCCGGTTTTAGATGTCAAAAGCGCCTTTCTCTGTGGGTTCAGGAAAGGCTGCGCGACACCCAAACACCCGATAGCCACCTCAAGATAAAATCCTCAAGCATCAGCTCAGAAACCCTAAGCTTGGATTCTGCAAGTCCGTGGCGTGTCGTGTCGTTAGTGCAACTTACTTTAGTGACGTTAGAGCTCCTGTACAGACGCGAAACAGGGCATATCAAGTTCAGGGCAAAATGGTTTGCAGCAGCTGTGACTCTAAATGACAGGTCGGTGCCCAATATCATGCATTATCAACTAGTTAATTGTTATGCCATGCTTTAATTTGCTGTGTTATGCTATGTTATGTTATATGGCTTTCCCTGCAATCGCGCAACAACTGGGCCGGGAGCTAAACATCTCACCGTCCCCTAAAGCGGCCGGTGGTTGTTTTCTCGGATTTCTGCTCCTTGAAACCAAAAACCGAGGGCATGAACCCTAAACCCTAAGCCCTAAACAAAAAACTTAGGCCCTAGACCCAGGGCATGACAGCTAAGGATGCTGAGCTGCATGGACGCCATGGCCCAGCAGCAGACCTTGGGTTGACTTAGCGAGTATTATAGTACCGTATAGTATAATATGGCATACTATGTATTATGTATATCATAGTACCTTACCAACTTCTAGGAACGTGTTTGTTTCCACGGTTTTGAGGCTCTGGAGGTCTTGATTTGAACGTGCGGGGCCCCGAGGACTATGGCCATGCTACGTAGCTAGAGTAGAAGCCTAAGGAATAGTAACTGTGGTCCACATAAGTATATTATATATATATATATGTATATACATACACAATTATGTGTATATATATCACATATATATATACACACATACTGCATACTATACAAGCATACGAGCGTTGAACCCAACAACTCCCATTCTACTCATGGCCATACTACATCATGCACGGCTTAGGTTGACCTCTACTTTTTTGGAAACCGGACGCTCTAGTAAAGGGGCTGAAAACTTACCGGCCATGTTTCCTAGGGTTCCTTAGTATGCTTATTTCCAATACACACCCAAACTCGGTTCCAATTGCTAAGGACTTTACTCCACCCTTATGGTAAAATCCTTCAAGGAACCCTCAAAGGGACCCTACTGAAAAATTCCACATGCCCATATACTAAGCGTTTATCGGGACTCTGATGGAACCTGCCAGAGGAACGGTAAACCCCCGATCCTATTCTGATTATACTCATATACCAAGCCCTTATAGTTAGCAATATAGTACTTCTTGTAGAACTCTTAAAGATCAAGAAAGAGATCCAAGTAAAGATGTTCAAAGCAAGTCTGAAGCCTAGACCCTACTCTAATGATTAAGCGCCCTAAACCCCCTGAACCCCGAAGCCCCTCGACCCTAAACTCCTCAACCCCTACACCCTCCCTACATTAATGTAGGGGCCTAAATAATTACCTATATTATTTTGGTGGTTCCTTATTATAATTATAGTATAATGGGCCCCGAAAGCTTATTCTAGTTATTCAGGCCCCTAAACCCTAACCTCTTATAGTAGCCCTTATAGAACCTTTTAAGAAACCCTTTAAAGGAACCCCAAAGCCCTATTCTAATTATTAAGGCCCCTAAACCCTAAACCCTTATAGTACCCTTTAAGGAACCCTTTAAAGGAACCCTTTAAAACCCTATTCTAATTATTTAGGGCCCTTAAACCCTAAACCCTTATAGTAGCCCTTATAGATCCCTTTAAGGAACCCTTTAAAGGAACCCTTTAAAACCCTATTCTAATCATTAAGGCCCTTATCTTGGTGAAGTTGCCCAGGACTTTGGCTCCGCGGCGCCCAAGGCCTGGGCCGGTGGACACCACGCCGACGCAGTGAAAGCAAAGCGCCAAAAGAGTAGAAAGCCGGGTTGCTTTAAAGGGGTAGAAAATCCCTATAAACCCTAAACCCTAGACCCTAAACCTAAAACAAGGGCTTGCTATAAAGGTTTCTTTTAGAGGTACTTCGGGAGTTGTTAGAAGTGCGACTATAGTTGACTTTAGCGGACAAGGCTTACAATAGAGTTGTAACAGTGGAGTCTAGAGGTTTGTAAGCAGCTGCTTAGATTACAAACTTCAGTCTTTGGGGCTTGTATTATAATATACTGTAGTATATCATGAAAGACTACCATAGAATGGAACATAATCTACTTCTACTACGACAAACTACAGTATACTATGTGTTTCGGTAGCAACTTTTCAATTCTTCTATATCCTTCACAACAACGTTCTTGACCTAAATCAGACAAGCCCCATGGTACTTAGGGGACTTCGAAGTCCGAGGCCTGCCTCCACCTGCGGAGCGGACTGCGGGCATTTCGGTCACTTTACACGGAATGGTTCGGAGTGTTGTACGTACTCAATGCGAATGTTGAACAAAGAAGGCCATGGCAAAGCCAGCACGGGCCTTCAAGCGATGATTGTTGCAGCAGCGCCCCGTCGAAAAAGGGAGCCCGTTCAACTCTTAGCCGTGCCTTCAAGACTTGTCATACTTGAGCCTCCATGTTTCTATAACGCAAGCGAAGAATTGGTTCGGGATTGAGGTTTCCAGAAGCACAACAAACGCGGCATTTCAGACTTGCTGGCGTTCTAAGTTGGAATCTGATTGGGATGCATCACCGCGTAGGCAGCCAATCATGGCAACGTCTTCAACGGAACAAACTGAGAATGCTGCAAGGGCTCGCGTTTATCATGTCACGGTTTGGCCAGCATTCTGTGGTTCTGTGCGGAATCCATTTTCAGGGTCTTGCACCATCGCCGAGGGGACATGACATAATGGACGCAGGTCCCTAGACTGGCCGAATCTAAGATCCATTCACAGACATTGGCCAGAAGGCTTGTCTCCTCGCTGAGCCAAAAGCCCTAGCGGCCCTAGCGAAGCCCGTGAACCCCCAGACTTCAGAATCGCCTGCCCTAGCCTGTCGAGCCATCCCTCCACGCGCAAATCCTGCCATTGGCCATAAACCATCCGCCCTCAAAGCTCTCATTGCATGCCTTAGCATCCTCAGCGCTTGCCAGGCAGCTGGCTAGACAGTTGGGGGTTTCCATTGCGGAGGTTGAGCGCCACAGCCTCAGGTGCCTGTAGGAGGTCTGTTAAGGTTGATTAATTTGATATATAGTATAATAAGACATCCTATAGTATAATATAGTATCAGATAACATAAGGTATATATAACGAGGTATTCCACCCGGGCAAGGGCACGCAGCAGGCATGCATTCATACATACAGTCATGTAGACAAGCAGCATTGGAGAAACTCGGATCAGCCGTGATTTCTGACGGCCGACCTACCTCTCTCTCTGACTCTCCCTCGCTCTCTCTCATTGTCGTTGGCAGCCATTCTCAGGTTATGGCTATCCGAACCTGAATCCTCGCACCCTTGGGCCCTATAGGGTGTAAGTTGCTTACCGAGGCTACCGGCGCATGTTCGATGAATTTGACACGGACGGGAGCGACGAGATCAGCCAGTCCGAGTTTGTGTATGTGCTTGGGCGGGTTGTGGAAGTCAGGGCTTTGGGATTCAGGGAGTAGTGCTTACAGGGTCTTGAGGGCAACGGCTTATACTTTGGGGGTGTGATTGCACATATATCATAGCCAGAGAGAAGGTCGGGGTCAGAAGGCTTGTGAGCTCCGGCGGACACCGATTGAGCGCAAGGGCCGTGTGTTGCAAATCAGTGTTGGTTAGCACGCTTCTCTCCATGCTGGAGCATGCTGAAGTTGATGAAATCATTGTAGCCTGTTGTCAACTGCATCTTATCGGGGGCAAGTTTCGATGCAAGTGGGACTTCGAGATTAACTATGTAACCAGGGTGCCGTGGCGTTTGCAAGTGTTGGTTTCGCATGTTGTTGCGTCGCTCACCTACGTGCCAAAGACCTTCAGTTCAATTTTGAGTGCCGATTGCATGATTCCCGCCGCGCTTGCCTGTTGATCTTAGGAACGGGTTCCTTTGGACTTGTTTGCATGTGTGTTTGTTTCTGTCTCTGTGTGCGTCTGTTTGTGTTTTTGCATGTGTGCAGGTAATATGTCCGCACCCATCGGTGCAAACATATACCTGCCCACTAAAGGTTCTTCTAAGAAGTAGTAGCGATGATCAAGCCGGCCTTCACAAGAGCAGTGGCCCTTGCCTGATACATCTTGATAAGATTGTTCTTGTTGTTGATAAAGCCCAAAGCCCTGTCAATGCCAACTTTACCAGAGCTAGCAAGATACCACGACGGAGCTTGACAAGCATGTTGTGCAGCGCCTGCATCCCTAAGCCGAAGCTCCAAATGAGGCGGTTCCGACATAATCCGACGAAGGATTGAAGTTGCGAGGTTTTGTCGGTCCACGAAACAATCAGAACACACAGTACTGGGACGCCATTCAGAAAAGCCTCGGCACTCGCCGTTCCCCCCCACCATGAAACCATCGCAAGACCCTGGCATCAACTAAGCTCTTTACGTTGCTTTGTTGCAACCTTACATACTTGTGCAGAGCCCAATGTTTCGGAATGCTGACGGCATTTGATATGTGTTACGCAGCGAACTGGGCGACATGAGGTCATCATGCAGATCATGGAGGTGAAGGATCCGCGCGATATATCTTCGCAGCGCCTGCACCGACCCGCGGCTGCATTAGTTGTCTGGTGACTCTGATATCGGGGATGATGCGTTGATAGCGGCGGTGGTGGCGATGCTACTGACGATGACGAAAATGATTCAGGTGGTCCTGGTATTGAGTATCGAGGACGATGTGTACCCGTAGCCTATGGATACTTCACACATTGGCAGAGTCTGATGGCTGAGTATGTTGCATCGAACTGCTCAAACGATCAATAAGGGCTTTCGATTCTCTGAGCGGTGGTAAGAGAAGCTTATCGGCAAAGGGCGTCGGCAGTCACAGACTCCCGAGCATCACATGTAATCTTCAAGCAGACACTCCGGAGTGTGCATCTCAAGTTCCCATGTACTCTGAAACCCTTGAATTGCGTTTTCGATTAGTGCGCTCGAGAGGTTGAAGGGTTAGCCCCTGTCCCCGAAGCTGTCCCACCCTACTCGTAGCTCTTGAAGCACCGCTTGTCAGACTTGTAGTTTCCCTTTACGGTTCCTATAGAGGTACCGATTCATAAATGCTTTTAAGGGCCCCAGGACTACAACCCAGACTCTTGAGAGGAGGCTATTGGCAAGAAGGGGACACAGATTGTTTAAAGTTGAAGGGTCCTAAACCCTAAACCCTACTCGTAACTCTTGAGAGGCTATTGGCAAGAAGTGGACACAGATGCAAGTGGAAACGCCGCTCGGTCATTGTGAGCGAGGCAGCGCTTAGGATTTCAGGGCCTCCCATCCCAGGATTCGGACATGAGTATAGTTACATTCTTAGGTTCACGAGCATGATTGCGTTATACTTCATGACCATAGTTACATATTCGTTCATGATTACAGTCAGAAATTATCGTTGCATAGTAGTTCATGGTTATAGTTACATCATAGTTCAGGAGTATATTCGCATTATTCGATACAGGACTAGAGTTACATTATAGTTCATGAGTATAATAAAGTTACACCAGAGTTTTAATCTGAAGGGGAAAGTGTCGTTTCCCGGGCGTAATGTAGGGGCCGAAGTAATTACCAATACTATTTCAAGGGTTCCTTATCATAACTATGGTATAATATACCCCAAAGCCTATTCCAATTATTAAGGCCCCTACATTAACCGAAGCTCCACGTGTCGAAGCTCAGGTATCCTTCCAGGAGTTTTTGAGCTGGATGCTGACCAAGGGCCCGGAGCACGTGAAGCGTGTCTGGTGAGTGCAAGCGAAGCTCTGATAACGCAATATGGTAGAATGGTAGGGGAACAGAATAGAACAGAATACCGTAAGAATCTTCCCGGAGTGTCCATGTCTAGTACTACTTTCCCAACGCCTGGTCATGTTGCACCTTCCTGCATGTGACGAACATGACCCTAGTATGATAACACAGATTCAGGAAACTAAAGCTTTACCAAGGGACAGGAATGCTAGCTCCAGAACATCAGAACAGTCTTGTCGGCTCTCGGCCAAGCAAACATCCCGGCCTCCAGAGCCTCGGAGTTTGAGAAACTCCTGCTGTCTCATATAGAGACCGTAAAAAATCAGTGGCTTCCTTTTTCTGGTAGAGACTTCTGCAGAGGGATCCGAAGTCAATTTACGAAAGCTCCACACAGTCAGTCAAGGCTGCAGCTTGGGGCAAGGGATGGTGTCTAGGACATTTTCAGGTGGGTAGTTACCGTTATAGGAGCCTTATAGAAGGTCTATATACCTTATAGAAGCCTTGTAAGCCCTATATGCCCTAAACTTTCCACCTGTAGTTTGATTGAATGGTGATAGCGAATTGGTCATCGTTTGCGACCGGAAGCCATGGAATGCTCGCTTCCCAACTTTTCTTTTGGGAGGTCTTGTCGAATACGAGCAGCTCGCAGAGCAATGCCATGCAGGCTAAGCCTAACAGGCATTTTATTTCCGACCAGACACAGCAACGTCAGTGCCAGCACAGGGAGACGTGACTCGCCAATCGTAGAATACTAAGCCGTAGCCTGGGTACAGTCTTTAAGGAGAGTTAACGAGTCGATCACCCAGAAACTTATCGCCGCCCTTCGAAAGGCGCCTAATACGTTGCGTTAAAATGCGACCCAAACCAGTAATTTGACAGGCACAGACGGAGCTGCGTGCGTGGCACGGTGAAAGTTCAACACAGTTTTGTTCAATGGGCGCTCCTCAACCAGTTTTTCGACCTGCCTGACTTCCCGCTATGATTCCCTTTATGCAAAACCTAATGTAACGACTCCCCACCGCGAGTTGCAGAGGAAGAGTCGCTCGTGAATCA